GAATGTGTCAGTTATCAAGCTCTAGATATAGAACAGTGAATTAACTAAGTATGGGCTGACAAAGAAAATTAGTAGACAAAAATACAATCATTTCACGCTTTTCATTCTTTGTAGGCCAGTGTTCTTAGATCAGTTTGCAACATTTCGATTTTTTAATGTTTCATTTTATAATTTTTCTTGTTGTGGCAGAGACAAGTACACTTTCTCTTACAGTGTCTATCCCTCATTGCACTGAAATAAGACAATACTTTGTTCTGGACAAGGTAATGTGGACAGAAGCATTTAAAAGCCAGTATGCCACTTCTATCCTTCTTATTCCTGACATGGCAACCCTTGATTGAAATAGAGAGACTATCCCTGGCCGGTTTGGCTCAGTGGTTGGAGCGTTGGCCTGCAGACCAGAGAGACCAAGGTTCTGTTCTGGTTAAGGACACGTACCTTGGTTGCAGTTTGCCCCCGGCCCTGGTTGGGGTTGTGTGGGTAGCAACCAGTCAGTGTGTCTCTCGCATCAATGTTTCTCTCTTTCTCTCTCTTCCTCCCTTTCTCCCTCCTGTTCTATCTGAAGATAAATGCAAAAATGTCCTTGGGTGAGGATAAAAAAAAAAGAAATAGAGACTATGTTCCTGAGTTAGCATAGAGGACCTGCCAACTTACATGGAACTTCGTGTGAACAAGAAGTAAACTTTTATTGTGTTAGATCTTTAATATTTTGAGGAGCTTTGTTACTACAGTATAGTATAGCAATCTTCTACATTATTTTTATGTATGTTTTATAACATGTATATAGCTTATAATTATATAATGGTGGTGACGGCATACTTAACATAGCATAGAAAGGCTTTCATGATCTAATTTCTGTCTCTCCAACATTTTTCCCACAATCTTCACATCTCTAACGTTATACTTAGATTTTTCCTGCTTGAACGCAAAACACTGTCTCACACTTGTGTCTTTGCACGTGTTGTTTCCTCTACTATAATTCACTTTTCTCCTTCTATCTATCAGATACGTATGCATCTTTCAAATTCGATTGCCATCGCTTTCTTAGGAAAGGCTTCCTTGATTTTCTCCACTTTTCTTTGTACATTTAGACTTTTTCAGCTCAAATTTATTTACCTTTATCTCTGTTATTAATAGTAAATTATAAACTTGCAATATAGTAATTTCTTATAACCTGATATATAGGGGGGCATAAATAAATGTTTGCTAAATGAATGCCCTACTTTTGAACAGAGAACAATTTAAATCTTTATTGTTTAATACCTTCCTGAAAATTAGTTGATAGTCAGTTGAGAATAAGACAGGTGACCTTTTGTATAGATTTAGGGCTTTAAGAAGAAAAAGAAAATGTGAGGGCAGGAAGAAGAAATTCTGTCACTTTTGCTGTAATCTAGTTAAGGCTCCCATAGTAATGGTCATATTCTCTATTTGTCATATACCAGAATGTGATTGCACATACACACTCTCTCTTTTATTCTGATACTGCATTAGATTTTTTTCTGGTTTTCCTCATTGAGATATAATTGATATATAACATTGTATTACTTTTAGGTATACAACATAGTGATTTGATGTTTGTATATATTGTGAAATGATTACCATAATAAATCTAGTTAGACTCCATCACATGCATTGTTATAAGTTTTTTCCTTGTGATGAGAACTTTTAAGATCTACTCTCTTAGGAACTTTTTTTTTTATCCTCACCCGAGGACATTTTTTTACACTTATCTTCAGATAGAGCAGAAGGGAGAGAGGAAGGAAGAGACAGAGAGAAACATCGACGTGAGAGAGATACATCGAGTGGTTGCCACCCACACGACCCCAACTGGGGCCAGGGACAAACTGTAACTGAGGTACACTTCCCTTAGCGGGAACCGAACCTGGGACTCTATGGTCCGCAGGCCGATGCTCTAATAGCTGAGCCAAACCCACTGGGGCAAAACTTTTTTTTTTAAATCCTCACCCAAGGATATTTTTCTATTTATCTTCAGGTAGAGTGGAAGAGAGGAAAGGAGGTGGGGAGGGGAGAGAGAGACATCTATGTGAGAGAGACACATCAACTGGTTGCCTCCTGCATGACCTTGACCAGTGCTGGGGACCAACCGCATCCAAGGTACGTGCCCTTGACTGGAATCAAACCTGCGACTCATTGGTTGGTGGGCCAACACTCTAACTGCTGAGCCAAACTTGCCAGGGCCTAGAAACTTTTAAATATTAAATACATAATTATTAACTGTACTCACCATGTTAAACATTACACCTCCAGTGACAGCTCTCTTATTCCTCTATTTTGCTATGTTAAGTTGCTTGATACTCATGAAGACACCTCACAATTGGTAATAGTCAAGAGTTTTTTTAATTCTTTGTTAGTTTGTTTTGCCTTTTCAATATAAAATAGAGCACATGTTTAAAAATTAAAATATCTGGGTATAAATTAAAGAACAAATTCTTGCCCTTGGCGGTATTGCTCTGTGGTTAGAGCATTGGCCTGTGCACCAAAGAGTCTCGGGTTTGATTCCAGGTCAAGGGTACTTGCCTGGGTTACAGGTTCAATCCCTGGCCCCTGGTCGGGGAGCATGCAGGAAGCAACTGATTGATGTGTCTCTCTCACATTGGTGCCCCCCACCCCCAATCAATGGGAAAAAAATACCCTTGGGTGAGGATTAACAAAAAAATAAAATAAAATAAAGAACAAATTCTTATGTACTCACTATCTAGGTGAAAAATAGAACTTTGTCATAGTCCAGAAGCCCCTTATGTGCCCCTCCCTGATTGAATTTCTTTCTTACCTCCAGAAGTAATCAACATCCTGAATTTTATGGAGATCATTCCTTTGTTTTTTTTTGTTTGTTTTCATCATATATGTCTTAATTCCACAATATGATGTTAATTTTGCCTGGTTTAAGACTTTATAGTAAATGCAGTCATACTGCATGTACTTTTCTGTGACTTGCTTTTTTTGTGCAAGATTATTTTTGAGTTTCATCCATGTTGATGTGTATAGTTCTACTTCATTTATTTCCACTGCTGTCCAATATTCCATTGAATTAACACATTCCACTTTACTTATTCATTCTAATCATGGACATTTGGCTTGTGTCAAGAGTTTTCTGTTATAAACAGTGCTGCTGTAACATTCTTTCATTTATGTCATATGCAAGAATTTATCTATGGTATCTACATAGTAGAATTGCTAGGACATAGAGTGTGCACATGTTTAAGGTAATACCAAACTGTTTTCCAAAGTAGTCATAGCTATATTCTCTCCCACCAGCAGTGAGGGGCATTTCTCATTGCTCTGAGTCTTTCCTAACACTGGTATTATTCAGCTTAACATTTTTTGCCAGTCTGGCGATGTGAAATGGTATACCATAATGATGTGAGTGGACATATCCCTAATTACTAATGTGGTCGGACATCTTTTCATATGTTAAGGATGTGTGCTTTTTTCCCTTCTGTGAAATTCCTGTTCTGTTTTTCATTTTTCAATTAGTTGTATATCTTTTCCTTTTTTATTCATAGGGCTTTTGAAAATTATATTCTCAATACTAATAATTTGCCAACTAAATGCATTTTAAATATCTTCTTAGTAACTAATTGGCTATAGGAGGTGAGGGAGAAGAAGGAGTATAGAACTACTCCCAGGTCTCTGGTTTGGGCAAGAGTGGATGATGGTGCTGTTAAACTAGGACATACAACGGAAGAGGAGAAATAGATCTGGGGGAGAGGGGAATTTATGTAAGATATTTTGGAGTTTGATGTTACTATGGGATATTCCAGTAGAGGTGTTTCACAGAAAGTTGGCTATAAGGCTCTGAAGCTCAGCACTCATCAGTTCTAAAGGAATCTTGTATCATGGGCCTTTCAGGAGAGTACAGTTAGAATGAATATGGTAATTTTCTTTCTTTTTAAAAAAAAAATTATTTAATTTTTTAAATTAAATTTTATTTTATTTCATTTATTTATTAAAAAGTTTTTTTTGTTGTTAATCCTCACTTGAGGATATTTTCCCATTGATTTTTAGATAGAGTGGAAGGGAGGGAGGGAAGAAGGGAGGGAGGGAGGGAGAGAGAGAGAAACATACATCAATGTGAGAAAGACATATCAATGGGTTGCCTCCCACATGACCCGGCCTGGGCCCAGGGATCGAACCTGCAACCCAGGTATGTGCCCTTGACTGGGAATCAAACCCATGACCCTTCAGTTTGTGGGCCAACATTCTAACTGCTGAGCCAAACTAACCAGGGGTAAATTTTATTTTTTTCATCACCATTTATCCCCTCTATGCGCTCTTCCACTTCCCCCTCTCCTCTCCCCTTCACAATCACCACACTATTGTCCATGTCCATGAGTTCTTTCTCTTTTAGGAGTATGGTAATTTTATTTTTTAAATATGATTTTTAAAAAATTTATTTTTTAGAGAGAGAGAAATATTGATGTGAGAGAGATACATAGATCTGCAGCCTCCTGCATGCCCCCTATGGGGGATTGAGCTGGCAACCCGGGCATGTACCCTGACTAGGAATCAAACCAGAACCTCTCAGTCTATGGGATGACACTGAATCCAGTGAGCCACACCGGCTGGATGTAATATGGTAATTTTCAAACTCATTTGTTTTCTACCCGTCCCAACTTCTCTAGGCTATGGATTCTCCAATTTAAGCTTCTTATGAAATTAATGTCCTCGTGAAATGACCCACCAGACACTTCATCATAGTTGTAATTGCTTTATTACCATCTTGGTCTCTCAACAGTTAAATAATCTCTCTTAATATTTCCAGGAGAACACATCATTTTTATTTTGAAAAACATCCAGCATATTTGTCTTACATGATATGCAGAGAAAATACCTATATTTTAACATTTCTTCCATTGCTCATTCATATGTAGTATTTAATTACACAACTTATTTCATAAACACTGAAAAAAAATAAGAAACATATATATCTAAGAATTCTACCTTGTATAGTTTTTCATTAAATAATACTGTTTTCACATACATTTTCAGACATTTCTAGCTGCTTCTATGTATTTTGAAATATACATAAACATACAACCACCAGAAGAATCTGAGCCCCTTTGGAGTATGGCAGTAGAAAGAAGCCCATTGTGTTATCATTTTTATTTTATTCCTTTTAGTTATTTGAGATCCTAAGAACTCTGCTAAGCCCAGAGGGAGAAAGATCTCCTAATAACATTTAGAAGGTAGGAAGATGAGGGCTAGCACTTGGCACATTCACTAAGAATAAACATAGCTTATAGTATAAGTACCAGGGCAGAGTTACTACTGAACATCTCAGGATGATGAACCATCATCCGCTTCCCTGCAGGAGTAATAGCAGCTAATCTGGTGACTGTGGTTGGTCACCTTTTAGGAGAACTGCAATCCAGGGACAATTTGGGCTTGACATATACTGTCTATAAGGAACTGATGGTCCATCCTTATCAGTAGTGCAGTGATTATGCTTCTCTCTGTGTTCGAGAAGATCTTTTAGACCTGTAAGAAGAGAAGGAGGGTGTAAAAGTTTGAAACTCTCAACTGTGGCTTCAGTCTGTGTTCTACTTGAAACTTAACTGGGTTCATAAAGAACCCCAAGTCCTTGGGTGAAGTGTATGGTGAGCTTTCCTGCTGCTACACAATCATTGTGGATTACAGGTGCCACTCTTGTAAATCCAGGAAAGGCTTGGGAGTAGTTTGACAACTTTGCTTGGATAATTATAGCTCCACCTCAAGGTTGAAGTGTCTTATTGACACTTTTAGACATGTAGGGTTACATTTGATACCACAGAGATGGCACCTTAGTATATAAATAACTGGGAATAGAGGAGAGGGCATAGTGGCAACACACCTTAAGCCAAGGATCCTACAGGAAAGCTCAATACAAGTATTTCTAACTTCCCAAGATCAACATTTCTTAAAAAGTTTTTTTTGCAAGCAACAGCAAACTTACCTTTTCTTTCTCATTGCTTTCAGTATATTGTTGATGACCTTAGAGTCTGGATTCAGACATGTTTTCTCCCCGTTCTTTTTCATTGTAGCACTATAGAAGTAAACAGGAGTGAAAATACTTAAAATAATGTTGGACTGATAAACAGATGGAATATACGGTTTTTAAGTCAGACATTTACATTTTACTCTAGCCCTGGCCGGTTTGGCTCTGCGGTTAGAGCATCAGCCTGCAGTCCAGAGAGACCTGGGTTTGGTTCCTGCTAAGGGCACGTACCACGGTTGCAGTTTGTCCCCAGCCCTGGGTGGCAGCCACTCGATGTGTCCCTTTCACGTCGATGTTTCTCTCTCTCTCTCTCTCTCTCTCTCTCTCTCCTACTCTATCTTAAGAAAAAGTGGAAAAAGTGTCCTTGGTGAGGATAAAAAAATAAAAAATAAATTTTACTCTACATGTTTCTCTTTGCTGTATAGAATTCTTAGAATCAGCATAAACCCTTTACTGGTCTTTTGTGATCAATAAATATTTTTATATGATTACAGCCAGGGAGATGATAATCAGATGGTATTCTACTCACATGATCTCAACACGTGGACAAGATTGACTTGCAGGAATCACTTCAAGTTTTTCTAAAGACCGTGTATTAACAGGTTGATTACTAATCTTGATGCACATACAGCGTGTAGTTCTAGAGACAGGTACTCCTGCAGAAGAGACAGGTACAGCATAGGAGGTTAGTGCAGTTTTCATTTTAGACATTTAACATGGATTAGGTGGTACTTAGCAGAACCTATCATCACATAGTCAATCTGAGAAGGGATGATTCCATTATAAAACAGCTCTGAATGATTAGTCGATTATCTGAAAAAATATAATTACAACTTGTTGATTTTAAGATCATACCCTTGAGCAGAATGAATATGGTTAATTAAGCTAAATTAACTAAGAGGGTATCTGTGTTATCTTCTCTCTCCTCATTCCTTCACATTTTCTCTCTATCTTCCCTTTTCCCCTTCATTCATAGGCTGTAAAACTTTTGCAAATACACTATTTCTGTATTTGTAGAATTTATACCCAGTTCTATTTCTGACCTTACAAATTATCCTTTCATGTTTCTTACCTTGAGCTCCATTCAGAGTCAAAAGGATAAGGCAGAAAATAAGAACAGCACTTTGGGTCATGGTGCTGTGACTGGAGGTTCCTCTGCAGTAGACTCAGGATGTTGAGGCAGTTGAGGAATGTCTCAGAAAAACGTGTGGCTAGGATGCAGTATTTATTTGTAAAGGCACTTTTCCTCTCTAACTCTGATTGGATAACATTACAGATGACTCAGCAAATCCTGCTGCCTGTTCCTTGGGGAAGTCCCATGTTGATGAATTGAAGGTATTATTTATATTTATTGTGGCTTCTGAGTTGTGGAATTTCCCTCCATCCCCCTTTTTTCAATTAGAGTGAGTTAAGTTTCACTTTCCAGATTATGAACTATTTCTTAAAAAACAGAAGTTCATTGCATATAGAAATTATTTTTAAAATAGATCTTTGATTCTCATCTTTAGCCTCCGGCAAAATAAAAATGCAACTTAATCCTTAAGTCACAGCACTAAATACAATTTTAAAATGAGTCTGTCTTAATATTCTGTTTTAATTTGCACTGGTAAGACATGATTAGGAATATCTTACATTTATTCACTTTATGGGTTTCAGGGATGTCATTTACTTTCTCATTTTATTCCAATAATAACCCTGTAAGAAGTTATCTTCATTTTATATATAGAAGGATAATCTTTTTTTTTAATTTATCTTTATTGTTGAATGTATTACAGATGTTCCTCATTTTTCCCCCATTGACCGCTGCTCCTCACTCTCGCCCCCCTCCTGCCTTTCCCCACACTGTTGTCTGTGTCCATTGGTTATGCATATATGCATGCAAGTTCTTTGGTTTATTTCTTCCCACCCCCCAATCCCCCTTCCCTTTGAGGTTTGTCAGTCTAGCAACCAATTTGTACTTGTTAATCCCTTCACCTTTTTCACGCATTCCCCCAATCCCCCTCCCATCTGGCAACTAACAAAATGTTCTCTGTATCTATGAGAATGTTTCTGTTCTGCTTATTCATTTTGTTTGTAGATTCAATTGTCGATAGATATGTATTCATTGCCATTTTGTTTGTTCATATTTTTTATCTTTTTCTTCAAGAAGACCCTTCAACATTTCATATAATAATGGTTTGGTGGTGATGAACTCCTTTAACTTTTTCTTGTCTGGGAAAGTCTTTATATGGCCATCAATTCTAAATGATAGCTTTGCAGGATAGAGTAATCTTGGTTGTAGGTTCTTGTTTTTCATCACTCTGAATATTTCTTGCCACTCCCTTCTGGCCTGCAAAGTTTCCTTTGAGAAATCAGCTGACAGTCTTAATGGGAACTCCCTTGTAGGTAACTAACTGGTTTTCTCTTGCTGCTTTTAAGATTCTCTCTTTGTCTTGAACCTTTTGCATTTCATTTTGATGATGATGTGTCTTGGTATGGGCCTCTTGGAGTTCATCTTGCTTGGGACTCTCTTTGCTTCCTGGACTTGTATGTCTGTTTTCTTCACCAAGTTAGGGAAGTTTTCTGCCATTATTGTTTCAAATAGGTTTTCGATTTCTTGTTCTCTCTCTTCTCCTTCTGGCATCCCCAAGATGCGAATGTTGGCACACTTGAAGTTGTCCCAGAGGCTCCTTACACTGTCCTCATTTTTTTGGATTCTTTTTTCTTTTTGCTGTTCTGATTGGGTGTTTTTTGCTTCCTTATGTTCCAAATCGATGGTTTGCTTCTTGGCTTTACCTACTCTACTATTGAATCTGTGTAAATTATTCTTTATTTCAGTAATTGCCTCCTTCATTTCTAACTGGCCCTTTTTTATGCTCTTGAGGCCCTCACTAAGTTCACTGAGGTTCTCACTAAGTTCATTGAGCATCCTTATAAGCAGTGTTTTGAACTCAGCATCTGTTAGGTTGCTTATCTCCATTTTGCTTAGTTATTTTCCTGGGGTTTTGTTCTGTTCTTTCATTTGGGACCTGTTTCTTTGTCTCCTCACTTTGGCTGCCTCGCTGTGTTTGTTTCTATGTATTACTTAACGGGAGGTATGGGGCTAGCTGAGACCAGATGCTGCTTGTTTGAAAGAATTTAGGAAAACCTGAAGCAGGATCCAAGATAGGCCTATCTAAGGTTAAGCAACTGGCAATAGCTTGGGTGGGCCTGAAAGTTGCGTGGGGCGGGGCCTCAGGGAATCACCAGGGCGGGGCAACCAGTGTGAGCCAGGTTGCTGGAGTCCCAGATATGGCGGTTGTCTGCTGCCCCAGGGAAGGGTTTACCAAAGGAACAAAGGCCTCTGACAGCACGTCTGTTCAGAAGAAAGCCCCCTCTCCAGCCCTCACTTCAATGCCAAACAGCTCAGTTCTTCCCTGTATGTTTCTGGCATCCCTCGAGCTGCTTCCCCTCTGAGCTTAGAGGGAGCAAGTTCGGTCCGTGCGCGGGCCCTTTAAGGAGCTGCCTGGGGCTCCAGCCGCCTCATCTTCTGAGCCTCAGTTTCTGCTGGTTTTTCCAGCCAGAAGTTATGGGGACTTTTCTTCCTGGCACTGGAACCCTGAGCAGGGCACCTGGTGTGGGACGGGGACCCCTCAGTCCTCAGGGAGGACCTTCCCAGCTGAGGTGTCCTCCTGATTTTTACCTGCCACACATGGGTGTGGGACCAGCCAGTCGCGCCTCTGCCCCTCCTGCCTCCGCCCCTCCTACCAGTCTCTCGTGTAGCTTCTTTAATTCCGTAGTTGTAGGACTTCCATTCAGCTTCATTTCAGGCGGCTTTGAATGATGGTTGTTCTGTAGTTTAGTTGTAACTTTGATGTGGTTGTCGGAGGATGCAATACTGCATTTACCTACGCTGCCATCTTGACTGGAAGTCCTAGAAGGATAATCTTGAAGGTTAGATAATTGTGATGTTATACAAAGGTTCCCATTCATTTATTTTAACTATGATGTTTTTATCTTAACATTTATTTTAAACTTCTGTAATTACTTTGAGAGGCTAAGTAATTTTTTAAAATTTCTTTAAGAATTTAAAAAAATTTCTCAGTAATAGCAAATTTTCATCTTTTATAAGTAAATCTAATGTTTGGAAACTAATTTAGCCAGGTTTTGCCCTTTAAGCATATGCTATAGTAATAGGTTTGGCTTTTTGGAGAAGGTTAAAAATGTGGAACTGGCAAGTTTAAAAGAATTCCAGAAATGTTTTGGGCATTTATAACATAATTAAAACAAGTGAATAGTCCCCAATGTAACTATTTTGCCAGAAAACAGTACACATTTGGATATTTGTTTTCTGGACAGTTAGTAAAAAATTTCATGTGTTGCCCTGGCCAATAGCTCAGTGGTTAGAGCAACGACCTGCAGATCGAAGGGATGTGGGTTTGATTCCCGGTCAAGGGCATGTGCCTGGGTTGCAGGTTCAATCCCAGCCCTGGTCATGGTCTGGTAGGAAGCAACTAATTGATGTGTCTCTCTCACATTGATGTGAGTCTCACATCGATGATTCTCTCTCTCCCTCTCTCTCTCTTTCTCCCTCCCTCTCTCCCTTCCACTATCTAGGAAAAATCAATGGAAAAATACCCTTGGGTGAAGATTAAGAAACAACAACAACAACAAAAGGTTCATGTATTACAGTCAGTCCTTGGTTAAAAACGTAATAACAAGAATGGAGGTCCTGGCCGGTTTGGCTCAGTGGTTTGGAGCATTGGCCTACAGACCAGAGAGTCCCGGGTTCGGTTCCCACTAGGAGCATGAACCAAAAAAAAAAAAAAAAAAAAGAATGGAGTAAGAAAATAACTATAATAGGATTATTGCAAAAACAAAGGATGCTTTTTTTTTTTTCTGGTTCCTTCCACTCCTCATTTTATTTGTATAATTTGTTTATATTGCATGTAAATATAATATGCTCATTCTTTTTTTGCATTTTCATTTTTATTTTTATTTTTTTATTAGTTAATTTTAGTTACAGAGGTTTCTCCTTTTCCCCCCACTGATTCCCCCCTCCTCCTCCCTCCCTGCCCTTTCCCCAGTTTGTTGTCCATGTCCACTGTTCATGCATACATGCATATAAGTTCTGCTTTTTTTAAAAAAAATAGTTTCTTTTGATTTTAGAGAGAGAGGAAGTGAGAGGGAGAGAGAGATAGAAACATCAATGAGCAAGAACATTGATTGACTGCCTCTTGCACGCCACCCATTGGGGATTTGGCCCACAACCTGGGCATGTTACCTGACCGGGAATCGAACCGGTGACCTCTTAGTGCATGGGTCGATGCTTAACCACTGAGCCACACCGGCTGGGCCAAAAGATGCTTTCTGAAGAAATAACTTCAAAAGAGGGGCATGAATAGAGACATAACTTGGGAGAACAAGATGGCAAAACAGAGGTTGATTTAAGATGGATACAGTACTAAGAAGACAAGTGCAAAGCAAAGGGAAAACAGTATCAGCCATTGAACTGATAACAGTGACAACTGAAATTAGCATAGTTTCAACTGGGTGATCTATAGGGGCAAAACTTTGTGCCTTATCGCAGCATTAGTACTTGTCTGATTATTCACAGCAGATAATATCAGTAGGAAGCAGGTGACACCCATGTAGTATAATGTCTTGGGCCTGATAGTGATGTTCAGCAATATCCAAGTCTGCTTGTGTTCTTTGCAAGGGATTGGTAACAGGGGATCCAAGATGAAATACTGTTCCAAATGCAGGCATCACCCTGCAGTGAGAAATCTGATGCAGATGATACTTGGAAAGTAGGGAAGTATCTGGGAGGTCTTTTCATATCTAGGCTGCAACAGTGTGGAGATAGGCCAGGGAAAGGTAAGGTTTAGGCTAGTGTAGGATTAGGCTAGTGTATGTGGAAGGTTTTGGCTCAAAATTTGGCAAAGAGGCCAAGATATAAGCCCACATCTGCAAGCGGGGCACACATAAGACTTGGAACCTCAGATGCAGGAACTCTGTCATCAGAACAGTGAATGAATTATTGCTTGGGGCAGGCAGAAATTGCTGGACTGCTGAATCCCAGGTCAGTTTGTTCCAGGTACTGGAATAGAGCTAAACTTTCAAGTAGGTAAGTCAGTGGATTTAGCTGTGGGAAACTGGAAAGACAAAAGGAAGGGAAATGAATCAGGGACTGATAGAACCCAGAAGACTTTAATCTAGCAAAGAG